TAATCTTCAATTATTTCATTTCTTTCTTCTCGATTTTCCTGATTTGTTCGTCGTTTAGGTTTTGCAAATGGTCTCATCAGAAATGTTCGAAGGGGAAATGCAGCATCGCCAACAAACGTAAAAGGCATTGATTCCGCCGTTCCAGGCCAAGGCTGAGGGAAAGGCAAATCAACTTGCCCTATCTCTAAGCTACGACCAAAGTCGGAGTTGGCCCATACTCCACCATCAGAAATGCCACCTAAAAAAAATTGATAGCTCATATATAATGCACGCAAGCATCAACATAGGCTTTATTAAATACAATAATATACATACCATAATCACCCACATCCACCCATGTAAATTTATAGTTGGCATCACAGGCTGCCATCAAAACAATTGAAAAAAATTTTTTATAATTATAATAAAGTGATCCTGTTCTTGGGGGAGCTTGAATTCTGATATGTTTCCCATCAACTGCCTCCAAGCACAGTTGGGGAAATTCCATTGGTGCAGAAATCCTTCTGCCAAGTTTTGCCAGTCATTCTTCTGCATTGCTGGTAAGTATATAGGCTGCAATGCTGTCCATATTGCGGCACAGGTCTCTGGGACTATTTTATAAACGGTAGACCGTACAATTCGGAAGCTCCACTTCTTTTGCCACACACTATCGGCATGACCAAGGTATCTAAAATATAGAAGATTATAATGTTGAATTATAATTTTCGATTATTACGCTACATATACAGATAAAGAATGTTTTTTCCAGCAACGTATACAAGTTATATACTGTGTAACACAGTGTATAATCCGGTGCTTTCTAACTATGACATAAGTCAATACATAAACACAGATATTAGCTATGTCAACGATTATGTCAACTTATGTTGTAGTTTTAAAACATCACATCGTACACTATGTTACACAGTGTCGCTCTTGTGTATATTGCTGAAAAATACCCAAAAATAACATCATTTAACTTACCCCAAAGTGATGGCAAGACGAAGCTCTGGTAAAAAAGATCGTCGCATGCTCTTTTTTTCCAAGAGGGGGTGAACTCTCTGTAGCAGCCAGTCAAACTGTGAGGGAGTCATTCTGACGTAGTTGTAGAACTCCTCGTGATCCGTTTGTTTCAACTCGTGAAACAAATTCATGAATTCTCCTTGCTTTGTGAACAGCCTATTTACAGGCCTACGCCACCATCTACTTATATAAAAACAGAGTATTAATCACCATGATGTTCAGAATTATTAAAATCCAAACTTGAATATTCCAATATTTAGATAAATCATTTTGTTTATATTTTCAGTAAATAAAAATCGACTAACCTGCGACCATTGCGTCTGTTCAAAGCATATACTGCCATTGAAAATAAGAATGTCATTTGCATCAGCATAATGACTGTAATTACTTCTTCATCATCCATCACTATCACTATATTAGCAGTTTACTATTAAAAACACAACAAATAAATGATTTTCAATTTCAGAACTGCAGATTTCCGAAAATTCAACGAACTTCTTTTCCATTGGTCGAGCCAAACGACTCGCTATACAACTAGCGACTCATTGTAGATGCGAAAAATCCTAAAGTCACCGACTTAGGTTAAAACTTAAGACTTCCGATTACCGACTACAGATTAAAAACTCATTGTAGAACCCGCTTAATATACTGATATACTATGCCCTTACTTTGTTTGATAATAATGTATATATTTATTCGAAGACGTGCTCGCGCGTCCGTGTTAGTTTTTTCCCGTTTTCCTCGTAGTTCACTACGCGCTTACTGTTAATTTATTCGAGGTCGCTACGCGCGAGTGCGATCTTTTTATAGACTCAAGGTCACGCATCGGAAAAATAACCTTTTCCTGTGAGATTCATCATTTCGTTGTTTGATATAATCGACGAGTTCTTTCTTCTCTTCATTATTCCCTGTTATACGTATTGGAATACCGATTCTGGGAGTGATCTATTTATAGACTCAAGGCCGTGCTACGCGCATCGTAGATAACCTTTTTCGGCTAAAATCGTCATTTCTCAGAATCGACGTTTTTTTTTCCTCTTCATTATATCCTGTTACATGCGATCGTTTTATTCAAGGTTGCGTTCGCGGTGCTACATATTATTTATTCGTTGAGACAATTTTCCCGTTTTCCTCGTCGTTCGCTATGCGCGAGTGCGATCTATTTATAGTCTCAGAGTCGCGCTTCACTGTCAAGGTTTTCGCGCGCGTTGAATAAAATACATTCATTTGTTTACCGTTCATTTATTCAAGGTCGCTCGTCCGAGACAATTTTTTCGTTTTTCCTCGTCTGTTGGGAAGCGCGAGTGCGCTCTGTATGAATTTATATTTATTTATTCGAGGTCGTTTTTCTATGACAATTTTATCGTTTTTTCCTCGTCTTTTGCGACGCGCAAGTGCGATCTAGTTATAGTCTCAGGGTCACGCTCAAGGTTATCGCGCGACTTGCACGTTGAATTAAAACAATTTAATCAATTTATTTAATAGTATTCTATAATGCATTGTATTTGTGTAATGTTAATGTATCTGTCAAGGTTACGTGAATCTGGGAGATAATCGAATGTGACGAATAAGTGTAATATTGTACTCCTTAAACAAGAGAGAGATGTCACAGTTGGTGTTACGAGAGAGATGTCCTCTCGATTGTGGGGATGTATAAAAAAAGGCG